TTTTTTTTTTTTTTTTTTTTTTTTTTTTTTTTTTTTTTTTTTTTTTTTTTTTTTTTTTTTTTTTTTTTTTTTTTTTTTTTTTTTTTTTTTAATCTAGTGTTTTGTAGTGGAGGGAGGAGGACCTATCTAATTTGTTTGTTTGTTTTTCTTTTTTTCTTTTTGCGATTGGTTGTTCACACTGATTGGACTGGGAAGAGAGAAGAAATGAAAGGGCTGGCAAGGAGAAAAAGGCGACGGAGGAAGACGAGAAAAAGCTATGGAGGAAGACAAAACTGTATGTTAATCTAGGTTACCTGATCGGACGTCCGGGACCCCCATGACCGTCCGGGGTTGTCCGCTCGGACAACCGGTCGGACATCCTCCCCTAGCAGACTGTCCGAGCCCGAACGGCAAAAAAAAACAACACGGGGTATTGGTGATAGAGATAACGGGGTAGAGTGCAGTCTTGGCTACACTCAAACCAAGCCCACATTATTGGTTTACAGGAGATTAAATTAAACAATGAGAAGATAAGAGAGGCTGAGCGGTGGTGGGTGGGACCACAGTTTTGGGCCCTGGCCGACGGCTCTAAAGGGGGTGTGGCCATTTTGATTCACAAGGACTTAGATTGTCAGATTATTGACTATTACGTAGACCCAAGAGGACGTTGGGCCTGGGTCAAGCTCGAAATTGACACAGAAGAATGGGCTATAATGTCGATATATGTTCCGGTGATTTACGCAGAACGCGTCCCCTTCTTGGGTGACCTTCCAGCACATATCCCGGAGGTGGAGAATTTAGCCATGATTGGGGACTGGAATACTACTTGGAACCCAGGGCTAGATTCACCCAACCCCCCTAGCTTTACGGTCGGATAGCACAATGTTGATGTCCCTCTTGGAAGCCCAGTCTCTTACAGATACCTATAGGACGATGAATCCAGAAGACCACGGCTACACCTGGTATGGGCCACGGCCTTCTAAATCAGCGCCCCAGCCTCACCGTAGGCTGGATATCATTACGTTGAGAGGCGACCTTTGGGACAGGTGCTTATTTGCGGATTTTTTAATTTCTGACATTTCTGACCACTACCCAGTTGTTGTAGTGGACATTATTGCAAAAGACCTGATCCAGAAAGCCAGGCCCCCCCTCCGCCTAAATGTGGCAAATTTAAAAGATAAGGGTATCACTGATTGGGTTAACACTCAGATGATACAGTGGCCCAAGGCCCGTGACCTGTTCACAAGTGAGGATCGGTGGCCAGAGGTGGGGCTGGGCATAATCAGAGAAGCCCTGATGGTTTTCTCACGGATGAAGTCTGCAAACAGGAAATGGAACGAATTGAAATGTTTGAAAGACATTGAACAAGCGGAACAGTAAATGGGCCAGGATCCCTTTACTGACTATTTTTGGTCTGAGAAAAGAAAACAGGCTTTGTGCCAACTCGAGTCTCTGGACTTGCAGAAACAAGCGGATTGGCTTGAGTGGCTAAAGCTTCAGGGGATCGTAGGCTACGATAGAATGCAATCAATTTGTCTCGTAAAACTCGAAATCTTGTGTTCGTATGATCTTTTTTAAAAAAGAACATTTGAAAACGATTGTCTTGACTTTTCGTTCGTAGATCCTAAAACAATCTAAACCGCTAGTTAAAGAACTTATTCACAACTAGCAGACAGAGTAACTGTGTCTGACGAAATTGCATAGGCGCTCATAGTAACTGTGTCTGACGCCATTGCAGCAAAACTTAGCATTGGCGTCAGACACAGTTACTATGAGCGCCTATGCAATGGATTATTTTAGGGACATAGTTTCTACAAGGTGCCCTTTTGATAATTATTTCACAACAGACCTATTGCTGGAATCGAATTTCTGGGAAAGAACTAATGCCTGTATCGGTACGACTGCAAAATTAAACTTGGACCTCCACTTGTCGCAGGACGAACTCCACAGAGCGGTAAAACAAATGGCAGCGGGCAAATGCCCGGGATTGGACGGGCTTCCGATGCAGCTATTTCTTAACTGTTGGGAGGGATTTAGCCCTTTTTTATGTCAAATCTACAACAGTGCACTTACAAAGGGATCTCTACCCCCCAACCTGGTGAAAGGGGTGATCTCCCTGATGTATAAGAAAGAGGATAAACGAGACGTAAAGAACTATCGCCCAATATCATTGTTAAACGTCACCTACAAAATCCTAGCCAAGGCCTTGGCCATTAGACTAGCCTTACTACTGCCAAACCTGGTGGGATGGGAACAAGGGGCGTTTGTCAAGGGGAGGTCCATTTTTGAAAACATTCTGACCTCCGTTCAAGCATTAGAGGTCATCAGTGCAGAAAAGAGAGAGGTAGCCATTCTGTTGCTGGACATGGAGAAGGCCTACGATAAGGTAGGCTGGGCCTGGCTAGAATGGGTTTTGGAAGCGGATTCACCAACTGGATTCACGCCATGTATGCAAACACTACCGCAGTGGTGATGGTGAACGGTCACCTCTCAGAGGAATTCCCTTTAACCCGATCCTTGCGGCAAGGTTGTCCGCTAGCGCCACTGTTATTTGTTTTACAACTAGATGTCCTTTTAGATAATGTTAGACATAATACCGAAATTGTTGGTCTTAGATTAAATCCGACCCTCGAGTGGAAAGGGGGGGCACTCGCTGACGACTTAACTGTCGCCTGTGAAAACTCCACCTCTTCCTTGGAGGAACCAAAATCGGTATTAGTTGAATATTGCCTGTTGTCGGAGACTTCCATCAATTGGTCTAAATCGGCATATTTCCTTCCATCACAGTTTGTACTCAGGGTTGATTGGGGGCTCAGGGAGGTTCCAACAGAAAACTCAGAGAGATTTCTGGGACTTTGCTCAAGGACCCAAGACCAGATTCTGGCAGACAGGGTCACAGCAAGGATTCAAGGCTGGGTCAAGCAGTACAAGTTATCTACCTTCGGCAGAGCTCTGGTGTTGTCGGCGGCTGCATTATTGATCCTCTGGTTCCCCCTTTCCATTTGTCTTCTGGGACAAGAGGCTTACAGGACCATCAGAACAGCCGCAGCGAGGTACCTTTGGAAACCAGGGGCGGAGGAGGGCGAGGGATACATTGCTAAAGCCGCTTGGGACACAGTATGCTTTCCCCGTGAAGAAGGTGGTCTGGGACTTCAGGACCCTCATTTGCAAAACTTAGCATTGCTAGCAAAATGGGTGTCACTGATCAAGGCACTCTTCGAAGACCCTACCAAGCTGTGGGTCCGTCTCGCAGAATATATTTTACAGAAGGAGTGGGCGCTGTCAGACTCGGGAGACGTATGGCAATGTATCCTGATTCCGTCATACCTGAACAGAAGAACCAAGTCCAGGCTATGGAGAGGTATCCTTCGAGCCTGGAAAAAGTTATTGCCAAAAACTCTCCAACCACCAAGTACAAAAAAAAAGATTTCTACGCAGTGCCTTTTCGAGAACCCGTTGATCCTGGCACCAGATGGAGGCACCTTTATGGCCATGGATGGAGCAGGTAACTTTGGAAAGGCATGGGTGGAAAAAGGGGTCATCCTCATCAGACATTTGTGGGATGAAGAAACGAATGATTGGCTATCGGAAGAGCGGTTGAGACAAAAACTTTCACGTCTCCGTTCTGTATTCGAAAAAAGAAGTAAGATCATCGAAGCCATTCCTCGCCAGTGGGCTTTAACTATGAATAGTACAGGCGAACATGCAGCAGGCTCTTGGCTGCGCTCGGAGGAGGAGGAATCTCTGGTGTGGAGACTGATTGACCCTGATTTGGAAGGGGGGTGGAGGGTGGAGGAATGGAGGGAAGGGACCGCAGTTAAAAGAGGGGTGCAACTAATAAAACTTCAAGACACAACTGTGCAGACTACAACAGGTCTCCTTTAACTCCGTGTTTGGCAGGTTCAGAAGCATACCTTGCTATTGGGAGAAGCAGACTCATTTCGGGTGGAGCCTCTCCTGTTAGGCTGGTGTCAGGGGGATAGAGAAGTTGACAATCCTATCCCATTTTGTCAATACACCCCGAGGGTAGGTGTGAGATCGTTGAGACTGAGCTCGAAACAAGAACACTCCCCCGTCGCTCTAGCAAACAAGAGGTATATGAAGATAAAAGGTTCACTGGCAGAAACTCCTAATGGGCAAGCCCTGTGGAAGGCCTTGAAGAAGTTACCTTCGCAACGAGACTCCAGCTTATTATGGGCTCAAAGTATACAGATAATTCCAACCGCTCTCTGGCTGGCAGCAAGAGGGATGGACCTGCCCCAGACCTGCAGTCGGTGTAGTTGGGGGTGGGAATCCAACATTCATCTATGGGTTCACTGCCCGCTGTCAGATACCTTGTGGCAATGGTGGGTAGCGCTTTGGAAAGACTGCACTGGCGAAACTTCTCTCTGGTCAGACGATTGGATACTATATGGTAGGTTGCCAGACCACAGCTTTCATTACACGGAAGGCTGGGGTTACGTAGCGTTGGTCTGCAGAGGGGTAATAATGCAGGTGATTTGGTGGGCCAGAAATGTAGCTGCCTTCAACAAGGGAACAACAAACCTGCATCAGCAAATACAAAGGGTAAAAGCAAACCTGAGACTCCAAATAAAAACGGATTGGAAAAGATGCTCGGGTCGCCAAGGCAAAGGCCGGCTTTGGTTTTCCAGATCCTGGGCGAGAGATAAATAAGTTAGCAAAGCTTTCAGGGAAGGGAAGAGTGGTGGTAACTCACTGGCTAAAACCTCCGTGAGTAGGCTAAAAGATGCTCTGCTGTGTTAGGACTGTTCACAGTAGATAAGTGTGAAAAAAAAAAAAAAAATAAAGGCCTACAAAAAATCTGAAAAAAAACTATGTTATGCAAAAACATAAACTGAACAACTTTTGCCTTGGGATGATATCGAAATTCGTTGTCAATTTTAAAATAAAAAATAAAATTAAAAACACCCCCAATTTTTAATTTTTTTTTTCGTGCATTTAATTGCTAAAAATGGAGTTGTCCGGGCCCGGACGTCCGGGACCCCCCTGACTGTCCGCCCAGGACGTCCTGCCATCGGACAACTGGTAACATAGATGTTAATGCTTTTCTGCCTTGGGCACTGGGCCCTTTTTCATTTCAAAAAAAAAAAAGAAAAAAAAAGAAAAAGCTATGGAGGGAGGGCCGGCGTGATGGTGTCATCTGGACCGGTGGAAGATTCTGGGATGTGGAAGTCGAGGAGCTCCATCAGGTCTTTCGCGAAGTTTCTTTTCCATTTCCCCCAATCGTCGGACACTGCGATCAGCCGCAAGTGCTCTTCGAGTTCCATGATGCCCAATGCGCGGTTCTGATTAGCGGAGTTGTTGTAGAGGAGGAAGAACATTCCCATCGCTGCGCGCTTACGGACCTCTTCTTCCAAATCAGATAACAAAGCACCGAACTTTCTGATACATCCGCCTTCTCGTAGGCGCTCTTGATTGAGCCGGCAGTCACGACAAGATATGGCGACGACCTCGAGGGCGGCAGTTCGAATCTGCACGTCGTCACGGACGGAGCACGCTTTCGTCATCAGGATGGGAAGAATGTGGTGCCGTCCTAAGTAGCGCTGCGCGGGCTTGGATCCTATGAATATCACGATCATGATCTCCGTCATCCATTTAGCCTCTTCGGCTACGGTTGCTGACCTAGTGCCTCTGTCCAGCTGCCACACAAGAGTGCATAAGTTGTGCAAATCGATCATGTAATAGCTTTTCATAATCGTCTGCGCTTCGCGAATTCCTAAGTTTATGTAGTCCTCTGGACGGCTGAGGTCGACCGCGGCCATTTGTGCCGCCTGTCCCCCCGCTGATCTCTGCACCTTCATCTCTATCTGCCCGACAGGCAGCGTCATCTCATCCAAATGAAGATAAGACGTACTCTTAATGATCCGGTCCGTGATCCTTGCATCCTTCTGATCTGCAGCCGACGCCTTATCTTTACCTTTTTCTTTGGGCCGACGTTTGGCGGAAGCAGCCTGGCCCATGCCCAGCCTGGCAGCTGTCCAGTGCCCAAGGCGAGAGCTTCCTCGCTTGTGGTCCCCACCACGACCTTCCCTTTCAGCAACACCAAGCTCCGTCGAAATGCTAACTCGTCTTCCTTGGCCCTTTTCACTGTTTTGCTCAGTTTCGGCAGATGGCGTGGCTGGCCACTTTCCACCCCCATCCTCTTTGTGGGGACCACCATCAACATCCTGACCACCAGCAATGGCAGAAGCAGCAGGAGCACCACCATCGCCACTTGCAGAGAGTGGATCACTTGATTCGCCCAATTTGGGGCTGTCCGTTCGAGGGGTTTCCACTTTAGCAGACCTCTGTTTAAAGGAGAGTAAGGTGGAGGGGGGAGAGGTGGTGGTGGTGGTGGTGGTGGTGGTATTGACCCCTGCTCTCGCGAGAATCTCGTCAGCTTCTGGGAGTGTGATCGGTGGTGGACTGATTCGCATGGGGATTGCCGTAGGCAGGGAAGCATGCCGTGTCGCCGTTTGCCCCTTTGATTGTTCCGGACTTTCGGCCGCGTTCTCAGCATTCACTGCTGTTGCCGGGAGCGAGCTCGCCGTTGTGGAGCTCAAATCTTCGACTGACCGCTTATCGTCACGCTGCCCTGGAGTAACGTCTTCATCTCCAGTCTTCGAGCCCTGTCGAGGCCCACTTTTGGTCGGTGAGAGAAGACCAGGGCGGGAGGTATAACTCCCTTTGCGCGGGGTTGGAAGGCTGTCGACAGCATCAGTATCAGCAGCACGACGGGCAGAGGCAGGGGGACGATGACGAGGAGTAGCTGGGGAGTTTTCATCCTCGCTAGGAGGAGATAGGTGTGGTGATAGTCTTCTTTTCCCACTTTGTAGCGCTTGCACATCCAGCGACAGAGGAGTGGAAACAACCGAGGAGGGGTCTATCTTGTGGAGCAGCTTCTCCTGATACGACAAAGGCCTCCCAAGTGTTGGGTGAGCGGCTCTGCGATCGGCAATATTTTGAACATTTTTTAGAATACCAGCAATTTTAGATGGCGGGCTTGTCCTAGGAGTCGCGATCGCCGGGGGAGTAGTAGAAGCATTAGGAGGAGGACGAGGGGTGGTCGGTGTAACTGCAGGGGAGGGAGAAGCAGGTGTCTGACCACCACCTCCTGGATCGGAGGGTAAGCTGCCAATGGATGGGGCGTGGAAATTGCTGCCAGCAGAGGGATTGGCAGGAATAGGAGGAGGGAACGGATTCAAAGTGGTAGCAGAGAGAGGACGAGTGGAATCAGCAGGAGTGGAAACAGCGGAGGGAGGAGAAGGAGGAGAAGAAGGATCAGGAGGAGACGGAAAAGCAGGAGTTAATAGTTTAGCTGGAGCAGTCGTAGCATTTCGTACAGGTAAGGAGGATGCTCCAGTGGAAGGATAATCACTGTCCTGACCTTGGTTCGAACCATCTTTCTCCTTCTGATCATGCCCATCCCTCACAAGCGCGCCCCCCCTCTCCCCAATATGTACTGAACGGAATGCCGGCGATTCTTCGTCGTTATCTCCTTGATTACCATCCTCTTTTTGTGTTGTTACGTCGTCCAGCCAAGTAGCGTCTGGTAGCATCAGAGCTGCTTCTGCACGAGGCGTCTTTCCTCCTCCTGGTGCACTTGTCATTCTAGCTATCCCTCCTCCCCCTCCATTTTCTACCCCTTCACCTCCTCCTCCCCCTCCATAGTGAACCCCTCCTCCTCCTCCTCCTCTTCTTTCTGCTGCTGCTATGGAATATGCTGCTGCTGCTGCGGTTGCTGGAGGAGGAAGCCCCCCTCCCTCATCTTCACTCGTCATCCGTGAATTTTTCGGTTCGAGATGCCGATGCCATAGCCCACCTCCAGTATTTCTGAAGTCGGGACGTCGACCATACTACGCCTTGCAATACTGATGCTCAAAGTCTTGACGTCAACAAGAAAGATACCGCCGGCTGGTCTGTCATGCAAGAGGTTGCAAGCTCAAAACTTTGAATCCATTATGATGGCTGAGAAGGCTGGATGGACGCTGGCTGCCTGCTGATCCTCGTAGCACTGCGAGTGCATCTTACTGCAGAAGGTGACTGGATTCGTCCGATAATATTGATAGCAACGAATCTGTTTGCAAACTTTGAATCCATTTGCAAACTTTTGCCGGAAGATGCAGTGGCATTGTTTTTCATCTCATGCATGAATGGTGTGGTGAGAGGCCCAAGGACTTCCGCTGCCTGCCCATACTTGCAGCTCCCCCGGGAGTACTTTTATTTTTTTGCCAAAATTTTATTTTGGAAATAGTCGTTGCTGGCTGGTCCCTTCAATTCAACTGCAGAAAGGTGAAAAAAAAAAAAAAAAAAAAAAAAAAAAGGGTGAAGAAGATACGAAAAAAAGGAGCATCTTGATTCCTAACAAAGATTGCTTTTCTGGATTGTTGTTTGTACACCGGCCTTGACCAACAACTACTGATAGCACTCTTC